AAAAAAAAAAAAATTTTTTTTTACAAAATATTGTAGATGCTGGCCACCCCTCTGCAAAACTATGTAATAAATATTTTATAAACCAAGGTACATTTAACTATAATTTCCCATTTTCCTTATGTCCGGTGACTTTAGGAGCAACTTTTGGGACACCCTATAGAATGTCATATTCTGTCACTCAATCTAGTCATAGTCTTATACATATTTTAGGAGATCTATTATTTCTAGTTTACTAACAGGTACTTAAAGAGGGTGGGCCTACGCTCCAAGCTCTCATAGCTCATTTTTCACTTGGGACCTCTATCCAGAGCATACTATTAAGAGCTCGCACAGTGGAAAAGTGGCCCAAAATAATGTTTCTGGAAACTGGAAAGTAGTTTTTGAAATTACTCCTCTTTATGCTCGGCACTGAGCTCAGTGGCTAGAGCAGCCAGCCAAATACACTGGAGCTGGCAGGTTCAAACGGAGGCAGGAAAATGACAACTACAAACAAAAAATAGGCAGGCATTGTGGCAGGCGCTTGTACTCCCAGCTACTTGGGAGGCTGAGGCAAGAGAATCGCTTAAGCCCAAGAGTTTGAGGTTGCTGTAAGCTGTGACACCATGGCACCCTCCCAAGGATAACAAAGTGAGACTCTGTCTCAAAAAAAAAAAAAATTACTCCTCTTTCCCACTCCTTTACAGAGGTTTAATCATGTAAATATTCCCTTCCTATATGTAGTGGGTTGAATCGTGTCCCTCCAAAACTGAGGCCCACCCAGAATCCCAGAATGTGACCTCATTTGGAAATATGGTCTTTGCAAATGCAATTAAAGATGTCAAGAGGATTATCACTCTAGATTTAGAGCAGGCCCCAAATCCAATGACTGACATCCTTATAAAAGAACAGGACACACAAACCCACATGTACAGATAGAATTAGAAACCGGACTTATGCTGCCAGATACAAGAAATGCCAGAAGCCACTAGAAGCTGAAAGAGGCAAAGGACCTAGAATCTGCAGAGGAAGTGTGGCCCTGTTGAAACTGAAACCTTCACTTTAGACTTCTAATCTCCCAAATTGTGACAGAAAATTCCCTATTATTTTAGGGCTCTCTAGCTTATGGAAATTCATCATGAAAAACCCTAGAAAACTAATGCAAAAGCTAAAAAGAAAGAGGAAAGGAAACAGAAAGAGAGAGCGAGAAAGAAAAGAAAGGAAAGAAAGAAAGAAAGAAAGAAAGAAAATAGAAGCAGGCACCACAGAAAAATGTCCCTAAGAAATGTGCTAAAATATCCTCATAGACAGGATCAATAAAAGGCAAAGGAAGCAGTTAAGTAAAAGGCTTGATATAAGAGAATATAAAGTGTAGACTTCTAAAATAACCAAAGATTTCTATTATAAATCAAAAGGGTGAATTATTTTAAATACAAATGACAGTAGCCAATATTTTGAATTTTCTTTTTTTTGAGACAAAAGTCTCACTTGGTACCGTCAGTACAGTGCCATGGCATCACAGCTCATAGCAACCTCCAACACCTGGGCTCAAGCGACTCTCTTGCCTCAGCCTCCCATGTAGCTGGGACTACAGGCGCTCACCACAACGCCTGGCTATTTTTAGACACAGGGTCTCACTCTCGCTCAGGCTGGTCTTGAACCCATGAGCTCAGGCAATCCACCCACCTAGGCCTCCCAGAGTGCTAGGATTACAGGTGTGAGCCATCACATCTGGCCTAAACATTTTGAATTTTATATCACAAACTTTACCGTGAGATAAGAGTAATAAAATAATGCAACTAAATACCAATTATCAATAATGCAGGGGGAGGAAAAGTATACCTTTATTTACCAACTACCAACCCAAGTTCTCCTAGGGCTCAAGGTACTTTTAGACTCCATTCAATGTCACTCACAAATACACATACATGGCAGCAACAAACACACCTTTCATAATAACACAGAACTGTTCTTAAACACTTAATAAAGTTAGTAGTGAGAAACATTTAAAAAGGGATAGAGTGGCTCGGTGCCTGTGGCTCAAGCGGCTAAGGCGCCAGCCACATACACCTAAGGTGGAGGGTTCGAATCCAGCCCTGGCCTGCCAAGCAACGATGGTTGCTGCCACCAAAAAATTTGCGGGCATTGTAGCAGGTGCCTGGGGTCCCAGCTACTTGGGAGGCAGAGGCAAGAGACTCGCTTGAGCCCAGGAGTTGGAGGTTGCTGTGAATTGTGATACCAGGGCACTCTACACAGGGGGAAAGCTTGAGGCTCTGTCTCAAAAAAAAAAAACAAGGATAGAGTACGAGTATCAGTACTATAGATAACAGCAGATACCATAAACTAAGCTTTTACAATATGCCAGGAACCATTTTAGGGTTTTAAATATGTCAACTCATTTCATCCTTAAAACAATCCTATTAGGGTAATTTCATTGGGTCCATTTCCCTGCTGAGGGGAAAAAAAAAAAA